TATGTTCATACTTGAAGATAACATCCTATTTATGATATATAGTCACTTATATGTAATGAAGTATAGCAAGTACAATTTAAAATATACACTTAATTGATTGCCACTAAAACAATGCGCAACGAGTAATGTGTTTATTTTGGGTTGTGCATGTGTAAAGATTACACAACAGTTATATACATTTTGACATATAAAGGAAAGAGTGTGTGTAAAGATTACACAACAGTTATATACATTTTGACATATAAAGGAAAGAGTGTGTGTAAAGGTTACACAACAGTTATATACATTTTGACATATAAAGGAAAGAGTGTGTGTAAAGATTACACAACAGTTATATACATTTTGACATATAAAGGAAAGAGTGTGTGTAAAGATTACACAACAGTTATATACATTTTGACATATAAAGGAAAGAGTGTGTGTAAAGATTACACAATAGTTATATACATTTTTACATATAAAGGAAAGTGTGTAACAACAGCACCTCTAGCTTGAACATCATTTTTAAACGTTTTTTTCAGATAATGTGGCCGTAAACAAAAAGTATTGCACATCAAAGACGGATAAAATAAAAGATCAACCTATAATGTGGAGAGGATAAAATTAACCTTAGAAAGAGAGTTATCTGCAAAAATGGGACTTACACAGCAGTTGGGATACACCCTCTATCAGAGTTGACATCTTTTTGCAATCGTCACACGTAAAAAATATAATAATTAAAATATAAGAGCAGGCATAGGTTCTTAAGATGATTAAGAACATTGTAAAAGCATAAGATATTAAAGTCAAAAATAAAATTTTCTCAAAATTCCAAAATGTAGCATTAAAAAAAGAATGTTGATTACAAGCTTTTGCAACATTGAGCGTAAACATTTTAATCCAGAAAGTATGTAGTCATTTTTGAAAACTGCAAAATGTCTGATGACAGAAGAATATAAATTAAATGAAGCAAATGGACAACAGTATTTCTTACATTTTGTACTCAACTGATGGTATCTGAAAACACACTTTCTATAGATCTGATTAAACACAAGTTATGTGTACTAGTTACTCCATACTTTTATTTTGTGCAGTTAAGTTTTCTTGCTTTGTTTGGCTGATTTAAATACAACTGGAAGACACTCATTTTATGAATTACTAGCATATAGCCTGTCGAAAATGATGGGGCAAATATTACCACCCCCACATAGAAAAGCCTGTGCATTTTGGTAACACTACGTTCCCACAAAGACTTTTATGTTATTTTGCTTAACAACAAAAGTTTAACCTAATATTGATGTTAGTCTATGTACTGAAAGTATAAAATGAAATGTATAGACAACAATGCTGGAAAAATATTTTTTTATCTCTTAATTTAGGTCTCCATTGATTAAAGAAGTTTGTTTTTTATTAAAAACATTGGTTATATAACAGAAAGACCTTAATTCAGAAATGATTTAAGTTTTAAAATGAATCAATGTTTTTAATTTCATGATAAAGTTTATGCACTTGGCTCTAGGCTAGGTGATCCCACACTACATTTTTACTTTAGGCTTATTATACCAACACTCACTGCACTTGTAAGGTTTCATGGCACCCCTCACAGCCCCCTCATACCACCATCACTAAAGTCATAATGGGCAGACAGTAATCAGTAAATGTTCTATCTGGACAAATGCATTTTGGCTTTCATGATTCCTCAAGCGTAACATGATGTGACACACGCTGACTTTTATATATAGGTTAGATAATGTGACGTTCTTAGAATGTAGTACTTTGCTTCGTTCAAACTATATTACCACATTATGGCCTCTCCGTTGATCAATTAATTGACTGTTTCCCATACTTAAGCTACAGAAAATATTTACACAACCTTTACAGTTTTATTGTGATTGTTAAGATATTCTATATTAGCCTAATTGCTACAAATGAATAAATATAAAAGTGTAAAGGTTATAAAGTAAAGAAATTAGAATTTGGAGATAAATTTCCTTAAAAATTATGGTTGTATTTTACTTCCTTGGTGATGTTTCAAGCAAATACTCTTTTTTTTTTAAGTCAGAAACAAGTCTGTCAGTTAATGAAAAACTACTGGGAAACAATACACAAGAACAGAATGTAATGTGAGATAGAAGTACGAAAATTAAACAATTACCTAATGATAATATAACAAAGCTGAAGAAAAAGAAAGTAATAAAAATTATTAAAAATATATGAAAACACTGAAAGAAATAACAAATAATTTTAAAGGCAGTAAGTGAAGATTATAAAAAGCTGAACCATTCATTAATATCCAAAGGACTTGACCCAATTTTAAAATTATTTCTATTTTGATTGGTGTTTGAGGGTCATGTTATAAGGCAAGTACTTTAAAGTACTCAAGGGAATGACCAGCTTTGTTGATGTGCCAAGCTGCAGGTTTATCTTGATCTTTAATCAAGATGCTATGTAAGTGTTCTTGTGTGCCTTCAACGAGTATCTGGCTGGTTTCTCCTACACATATTTAGTCACAGTTGTTACAAGTAATATAGTAACTTAAACATTTAGATGCACAGTTGAAATGGCTATTTGCAAGATGTGGTGATTTAGGACTTCTAAAAGTTGACTTTGGACGAGTAAATCTCTAATGTTAGTGTCTCATTTATAAGAAATTCAAGGTTTGTTGGTGAAGATTTGACTGATGGTATTGTCCTGTGTTATGATGTGAAAGTGTTATTTGGGTGTTGAATGGGTAAAACGTATGTGTAAGGAGAATGTGTTGATGATCAGTGAAAGTAGAGGTGTGTTGGTTGAAGAGATGTTGGATACATGTTGTTGGAATTTTTAAATTGTCCAGGGTGTTGATGTTATAATCACTGATGGTTTAAGCTAGGCAACCTCTGAAAAGCTGAATTTGGACATTTCTTGTTTCTATGTAGGTGATCTGTAGTATGGTGAAGAAGAGAAGCAGGATAGCCATGTTTTTTCAAAAAAGTGGAATATGTTGATAGATTTGCTGTTATAATCTTAGTTGTTACTGCAGAGCCTATGTAATTTAATGAGTTGTGATTTGGAAAGGTTTCTTTTGATGTATGGAAAATGACTGGAGTGAAAATTATATTAGCTGTGTGTAACTTTCGGTTTGTAATGTACAGATGTTGCGAGATTGCCACCATCAGGGGTGGAAATATTTGTGTCAAGAAATAAAATTTGTTTGGTGAAAAATAGAAGAGGTGTATTGAAGTAATGGGTGAAAGGATTTAACAAACTGAAGAAAAATAATTGAGTTCATCATATACCAAAAAGATCATCAATACAAGGCAGGGTGGGCACCTGTGTAGCTAGGAAGTTAAGAAATGTAACCAATAAAAAGGTTAGTGTAGGAGGAACCCCTTTTGGTTCCCATGGCTACACCCTTCAGTTGTTTATAGGATTTGTTGCAAAAGAAAATAAATTAAATGATAAAACTAATTCAGTTGGACTATTTTGTTCAACATTACCAATTAAAAATGAAATTCCTGAAATATCACCAGCATTTTGTCAGATTTTATCCATAATTTGCTGAATTCCATCTAACTTTTCAGATTCTATAAACTAATTCCAATCTCATGTTATCATTCTACTACTGAAATATAATTTGAGTTTATCCCACAATTAAATGTTAGTGTGCATACACATATGAACTCTGTATTTATTTAATAAGCCACATTAGTTCACAATAGTTTCATAAAGACTTGGATTTAAAATATGCTTCAGTAGTGCCTTATGAAAATATGGGAATTCAAGAGTTCTGAATGCCTAACAAATGTTCTCACTCCTGTCGAAGAAACTGGTCGACAAATCTGTCATTATCAACTAATATTGTAGCAGGTTTCTTTATAATTCTAAGAACCCATGAGTGAAAGCAAAAGAGAATAAGTTATAATATGTCAACCACACAACATCTTCTATATTCAGTGCCATTGAGGTATTTTGCTCAATACCAGGCTGGATGGGATATGACAGACATAGTAATGCCCTTTATAATTGTTCATGAAAATCAGTAGTATAGTATTCTCTCCTCTTTTAAGATTGCACATGAATGTTGATTGAATGAAATGCAGCCCATCCAAGTGCTAAAGAACATGTTCTAGTCAAGTTATTATTGGTCTACACTTGAATTTCTCTTTATCATTAATCTCACATTCCACAGCTGTCAATTACTCTGGTAATAGTTTTTTGTTTTTTTTCAACCAATTGTTTTATGCAAATAAAAAATAATCATTATAGTTTTATTATTTAGACTTTTGTAAGCTGTTTTGGTCACTTGTTTCTCTTGTCTTCCAAAAAAAAAAAGTGTTTTATTGGAAAGTATGTGACCATACCCAGGTGAAAACTACATTTTCTCAGACTAAAACTTTCTACAGAAGTTTTACATCTGTAAATGAGTAAGTATGGCACCAAACAAATGCAAAATAAAAAGAATGAAAGACACCCATAAGATCTGTAGAATCTTTTAATTACAGTAGTTTAATGGTTGCTTTATGGGGGAATGAAAGAGAAAGCATAAATTAATCTTAAATTCAGAAATAAAAGTTTCTCTCTTTGCCCGACTGCCTAGTCAATTTATAAGTCAAAGTTTGGAATAGAAAATGTACATTAGTAACTTTATGGGCTGTGTGATCTTGTTTGAAATTATCACACTCTAAAATCAAGTCACAGCTGGACATTGAAATTTCTAGAAAGGTAAATATTCTGATAAAACCAAACCTGTAAAGTTTTTAACATTACAATATACTTGAAGTTTAACCACAAGTGTCCCATGAGACACAACTTCAATGTGCATATAAAGTCAGGGTTCAAGAAAGTAACTTTTCCTGTCTTAGAAGCAGCTAATGATCTACTTGGTATGAGGGATTATGGTGGTGTTTGTATTAGTGTACTTATTATCTCTAAAATAAAAAATCTTCTGGTTTTTTTTAATTTTTACTTTAATATATATACTTGTATAGTTCGTGCAGCGTGCCTTTTTAGTTAAATAAATACTCTTTTAATTTTTCCAGGAAGTTAATCTTTCACCTCTTGAGCCATCTGACAAAGAAGCCTTCCTAAGCTTATTGGATACCAGTGGTTCAATCCTTTTTACGCATCTGTCATCTGCTTGTGGTCAGAAACTCACTGTAACCAATGTATCCTTCCCAGAAACAGATGTCAGTACGCACACTTTACATGTAAGATTTTTTTATATTGGTGCTACAGGAAGAATGTTTATTTATAAGAATACAAAAAATATGTTCTGCATTTGTAGTTTTTATGAAATCTCAATTGTTTGAGGTAAGATATAAGTGAATAAATGTTGTAAGGTTTAAGATATCTAAAATAATGTGTTATCTTAAAGATAATCAGAAATGAAGAAGTTTTGTGTGTAAATAAAAAGCTCTGTTAGTAGACAAGTTTCTAGTGTTTATAAGTACAACAAATTATCCTTAGCTTACCATGCCAGTTTTTATGTATAAATTTTCTACAACTGTACATTTTGTTTACAAATTAAAGTGTAACTCAGGGTGAACATTCATATCAAATAATTTGGGAGTCATACTTTAACTTCATGTACATATAAAAAAAACTTAACATAATATCAGAATATTAACTGATATATTAATATATATTAACTTATATATTATTTAAATATATATGTGTGTGTGTGTGTGTGTGTGTTCCAATTTTAGCTAATATACTAGAATGCAAGCGAACTTTTTTAATATATATATATGTGTGTGTGTATATATATATATATATATATATATATAATGTCTTAATGTCAAATATATATTTAACCCTTTCGAGACGGGTCACAGTTGAAAGGCCATGTCATCTCATTTGTTGACTCGCATTCCAAATTTTATTGAACTACTATTTCGTGAATTTATGTCAATAATTTTGGTATCAAACTGTAGATTATAATTCAAATTTTAGAACTGTACATTACTCAATTTCGCTTGGTATATTGAATGCAGCACTGGTTCAAATTAGATGTTTGTGAAGTCAAAATACTAAGTCTACAGTTTCATACGAATTAGAAACTCAAATTGCACATATTGACAAGCTAGAATAAAAAAAAAGGTCTTATCTTTTCTATTTGCTAAGATATTGCTCATGTAATAAACACAGTGGCACCCCACCCACCTCTTTCCATTTTTGGAAATGCTCCCTTATATACACTTACTTCTATATATGACATGAATAACCAAACAGAAGCTCAAAATGTCCCCCTAGTGGTTTTCTCAGCCTTTCTAATGTGGCTAGCACCATTTCTTTCTTTTGAACCAAGATTTCAATGATGTAGGATGTGTCTTTAGTCTGCTCGAAACTTAATATTTTTTAAGAGTAAAATACGTCTTAGTTACTAATATTGATAAATTATTGTTGGATTCTATGGTATTGACGTAGTTATTCAGATGTATATATATATATATAAAACCTTAAAAAATATTGTTTCATATCCTCCACGTGCAAAATTTTTAAAGGCTTAGCAACCTATGTCAAGCAGCAACCGAGTACAAAGATCATAACTAGAAGAGATAATTGTTTGCTTTACTTCTTATTTACTGTTCTGTGTTTTAGAAAAAATATGTTTAAGAACTTGTTTCAAAATAGCAATAATCTATATACATATATAATGTATAATAATTGAAATGTGACTGTATTTTTCAAAATACTAGTCAACTAAAACACAGCAACGACAAGTTACTTTGTACAGACCAAAGGTCAGTTTTACGTTATCTGATACGATAACATGAGTGGCATCATTGTAACTTCTATATTGTTAGTCAGGCATGGGTGAAAGGACAATATAATAAATATATATAAATCTATAATGTTATGAGATTTAAGCTATTTTGTCTAAACATTTATGTTTTCATATTATAATTTCTATTTATTTCCTAATTTTTTATGGTGGTTGCGAGATCGTTCAAATCTACCAAACCTGTACAGAGATTAATTACTGAAAATAACAGATAAAATATAAAGTTTTTTCTTAAGAAATGTTTGATAAATATCCGGACATTATAAAGATTTCCATATGAAATTTCAAAATTTTCTGATGCATAAAAGTATTTTTAATCTTAAAATGAATATTACTTTGCATGATAGATAGGCAAGATATGAAAAGAAAAAAAAGAGGCATGAGAGAAACATTGCTTTACAAACCTTATGACTTAAATAAAAAAAATTAGATATTTTGCATATGAAAGCATTGTAATGTTTACTGATAATCTGCCAAATTTCATTAACGTTCGCTTACTAATTTAAAATTTAAAGCATGAAAACTATAACAAACACAAAATGGTTACGAGGTCGTCACATTGACTGACCCCGTACTGAAAGTGTTAAACCTAAACATAAATGTGATCGGGTGTTTTGGAAAACTGGAATTTACTTGTATGGTTCAGACTTTAATTGGTAAAATAAAATAATGAAATGTGAAATTAAACAGGTAAAAACTTAATGTTGATTGTACACATCAAACAAGAGTAATGAAGTATTTAAAGAAAACATTACATCCAGAGTATGTACAGCAAGTCAACTCATAAGGAAAAGAACATTAACTTTGTGAACTAGGATTTAAGAAGACTGTAGCCAATATGATAGATTTATGTTAGTGTATGTTGTCTATAAAGTAGAGGTAAATTTGGAAACTGGCCCTTGAAACTTGATCAATTATTTACTTCTGAGATTGTCAATGTTTTACAGAATGAAACTTGCTTATAGCATCGATGCTCCTTAGATTAACATTTCCATAATATCCCTATGACTATTTGATCCTACAATTTGTAGGACCTAATGTCATTCTCATTATATTTCTTTCCGAAAATAAAAGTAGTGGATAAAATTGTTTGAAATTTGACAAGAACTTTCCTAAAAGTATTTAGTTTAAAAAATTAAACATTTAATTTTGATTTTTTTTCTGCTATTTCTAATAAAAATTTGTTATTTAATGTAGTTACTTGCACTCAGGCTTTGAATATTTTACTTGCAAGGTGATTTTCATGTTGAGTATAAAAACTATTTTATTACCGTTGACTATGGGTGCTTGCAAATGATAGAGCAGTATGTTCGGCAGAGATATTTTAGCCTCAGGCAAAATCGTTTTTTGTACTCGCGTGGTAATGTTACTTTTGGGGAGTGACAATTACATTAGAAAATATTTAGAATATTATTAAACTTTTCAATTATGAATTTTAAAATAGAAATAATGCATTACTAACTAAAAGTAAAACCTAAATACAATTTAACTGTTTCTCTAACTAACATATTTAGGTAAAAAACAACTGAAATGTTATCGTGAACAAAGTGCCATGTGTGTGTGATATTAAAAAGCAATACGATTACTCTGGTTTGAACACTGTAATACATGAGTGTTCAGGTTGTAGAATAATCGGTATTTAGAAGTGTGATTTAGATGTTGTGATTTATTTCTGTAAACTCGGAAGGAGAATGTTACAGTTGAATTACATTTGTCTCGCAGGTTTCATGTTTGGCAAGAGAAGCCTTTAGTGCAATGAAAGGAATCCAGCAACCACATGTGTTGTGTGGGAGGTTTAACATACCTGCAAATGGTCCAGCTTACCAGCTTTTGAAAGATGGTTACCTTAGCAATGAAATGATTGAAGACTTGCAGGCCAGAAAAGACGTGCCACTTCCTGGAAAAGAGGTAAACAGTTTTTTGTTTATAACTTGCTAGTCCTGTAAGTAGAAACTGATTCACAATTATAGCCTTGGCATAGATGTTCTTAAGAGGCCATTTGACTGCCAATTTGCAAGAATCAAGATCAAGATATCTGCTTCAATACAGTTATTAAAACTAGAGCATTAGTTATTCTTTCCGTTTTCAACCTTTTACTAAATTTTACTAAGCTCATTGGTTTTATAAAGGTTTCCGTGAGAATTGTATGGCAGGTTGAGAATCTTGTTGCCAAGTTATGTTTCTTCCTGTATTAACATATTAACAGAAGCATCAAAGACTAGCTGTAAGATAATAAATGAAGATAGGCAGATAGTATCTGTTTTAGAGTATTCATTTTTTTATCAGCAAAAGGAAGACTTAAATAAGATGAAACAAGAATTTGTTTAACAGTTTTTTCCAACTTGTATCAGTTGTGGACAAAAAGGCATTTATTTTACAAAAATGCAAAGAGGGAGAAATCTGGGTTGGTTCTTGTTAAAGATTGGGTATTTCCCCTACTGTTTCTCCATTTTTATGTGATGACTGGGCTTCAATTTGGTTAGAATGCTTCACTGTCCAGTAAATCATCAGTTTGGGTGTGGCCATTAATTATGTTATTTCTTCCAGTCAATAGCTATCAGGACTGTGTTATCCCTGCGAAAGGATTGATTCCTGGTTTGGTTGTCTCCATAAACTACATGTATGTTCATATGCATAGAAATTTTGTGGTCTTGGCAAAGGCCTAATCATCATTCATTAAAAAAAAAAACAACTTCAGACTGTTTTGGCACATTACCTTCATGCTAGAGTGGACGTCTGCTTGAGATATAAATTGATAACTTAAGTTTTAATAAAACGGGGTAAAATCAGTGCATTCCGTGCCCCCCTTTAGTAAAATGAAAGAAGTCTACCTCTTCTCATACTGAAAGTTTCATATAAAAAAAACTGTTTATTAATGATACCTTGTTTGAGTTTTAATTAACGTGGAGACTTAAACAAACTTGCTGGTTGTCTTTAGTAGCCCTTCCTCTGAAAATTTCTGTCAGTACAATAATTCAAGATGTTACCACTAACTTTTTAAAACTGAATTTTCAGCTATTTCAGTGATTTCCTTACTGTTCTTTTACATAAAATACTTGTGCATGTTTATCTTAAAACTTTCCACATAAGACATTTTCTTCCGAGTTTTTCATTTGAACTTGAAGAATGGTAGAAGAACAAGTCTGCCCGAGTTCTTTCTGATACTTTTTCATTGGTTCAGTGTAACACTTTTTTGGGTGAGAGAATATGGTATGCTGGTAAAGCAACGGAAGGCTCAGATGTTGGTGAGTTCCACTGCATCTTGCCGGAAAGAAGCAAAGCGTAATGTGTTTGGGTGATCATTGTATTGTAATATTTTTAACATAAAAAAAACAACATGAAATCTTGAAGCTATGTTTAAACCTTGAAATAAAACCCATGAAAAACTTATTATAACATTTAACCCTTACTTATGTATGTAGAATGCTGCTCTGGTGAACTTGTTATGGAAGGCATTTCAACATCCATCATCACATCTTCGCAGCTGCTACTCAACTGTCAAGGCATGTGTACTTTTTCATAATTGCTGGTGATATTTTTTTCATAAATGTATATATTATTTCTAGGATCTTCCCTGAGATTCTTGTTAAAGTGAAATTGTGTTTTATAATTTCTGATCAGTGTTAGTAAAATTACAAACTTTATCATAACACTGGCTACTAGTTGTGTTATTATCAGGGCCACTTAAAAGTACCAATCTTAGTAATTCAACCATCAGTCTGGTTGTTCTAATACTGATATGTGGGGTAGTACATGGTAACTTCTGCTACATTTAGTCTGTGATCTGTTTGAGTTAAAGGTGTATATAGCTGATGTTCATAATAGTCAAACAGATTTTATTAAGTAACCACGTGATTGTGTGGTCTGATATTTGTATTTTTTACTGTATTAGTTAATGTCCATACTGTGTCCAAATATGTCAATAAGGTATCACCTGTGGCTTAATGTAATTCAGCACAATTGTTAGTGTTATAGCTGTTTTTCTTGGGTGAAAAGATTAAAATTAAAATTGAAGATGAAAAAAATTGGGAGCAATCCAGTAATCATTATGTGTAATAATGCTAATTCCTTATCAGAATAAAACTCAACTTGACCATTAGTATAGCTAATTAAATAAAACCTTTTTTACATTCTTGCTTATAAAGATTAGAATAGAAAGAAAGGAAAGGAAATGTTTAATAAAAAATAAGCTACTCTGGCTGAGTTTGGCTTATTTACCAGTTCTATTAGCCAGACAAAAAATGTCTCCATGGCATTGAAAGTTGAGGAGAAATAAGAATTAGAAAATAAGACATTTTTATATTAACATATAGAAACTTAACATTTATATATCTACAGAAAACTGAGAGATATGGAAAAGTTCAAAGTAACTTATACGTTAACAAACTTAAAAACTGTTTTACAGCATTTAATTAATTAAAATGTACCACAAATGTATAAATGTGTTTTACAGCTGCAGAAAATTGTGCTTCTGAATACGTCGTTTTAACATTTGTTTTGTTTAGAATGTAGTAATTATCAGGAATTACATATGAAGGAGTATCTGGTTTGTTGAAGAAACCATTTTCTATTCTTGATTAAAACTAATGGATGATTAGTTTAGTGTTAAATATTTCGAAAAAGAAACCAATTCTTTTTTAATTTTACAGTGAAGAAACGCTGATGGCAAGTATTGTTTAATATGGGATTTAGGTTTTATGGATATTTTTTGTAATTGATGCAGCACTACCACTCCATAATTGTTTTGGGGGGAAGGATAATCTACTTTTTTTTAATGTCTTGTACTTTTTTCTACTAGTATTTATTTTCCATGAATTTTTCCAAAATGTCATTAAAGGGTGATTTTTTTTTCACATACATTTTTTACTGGATCTATTTAAAACATTACTGTGTTTCATTATTGACATTGTGGACTGTTTACTAAGTGTAAACCACTGGTCTACAATTACTTTTTGTCAAGAACCACTTCATTATGATGCCCAGCAAGCTGAGAAGAGGGGCTATTGTTGGTGTGGTTAAACAACTGTATTAATTAAAAAAAGGAATGATCAGTTGTTAGCTTATTACATGTTTAACCACTGAATGCAGACTAACTCATCATACTAAACCAATTCTCATACAAATTTTAATAAAGGGGTACTCTCAGGGGTGTTTGGGACAGTGGGGTGTAAACAGAGAGCCATAAAGATCATCCAGCTTAATAGTTTTCCTTACAGTAATTGGATATATGATAAGTTGGTACCAAATTTGGATATAGTTTTTGGTACTTTTGACATCTTTCATCTAAAAGCACTATTAATACTTGTTTTATGTTCTTAACAGGGTAATGAGTTAGTGACACCAGAAGCAGAACCTGGAAAAACAAAGACTTCACCAAACTTGGTGTGGTTCAGCTCTGATTCCTTAAACACTGTGGGTGTACTGGACATTGAATCACCCCCCTCACTATCAGCTTGTGGGTTTGAAAGCCTGAAGGCAGACATCGCATTTGTGAGCTCAAACACTTAAGTGTGTAAAGCAAGTTGTCCCGTTATTGGTGTTTGTGTTTCTAAACAGAATGATAAACATAAAGTTTTAAACCATTGTCATTGAGTGTATTAGAAATGCAGGATTCTTTTTAACATAGTACGATGGTATGTTAACAATAAATCTGATCATATGTATGTCGCTACATTTTATTAACGTACCCTGTTCATTGTTTTAAAACCATCTGCAATATATGTTCCTTTTAGGTGCCCTTTTTATTTGTTGACATATTTTGTTTCTTTGAATTCTTTTGACCTCTGTGTCTAAGTTTAGCACACATTTCATTGTATCACCACATCATATAGTACATTCATGATTCAAATAAATTGTAAATGAAAGACATTCTAAACTTATAGAAAGATTTCCATGTGATAACTACTTAACTCAGAATTCACTTTAACTAACCTGAGGTTTGTTTGATAGATTAGCGAAATTCTTTTGTTTTGTACACGTGTATACTAATAATTCTTCACTCGTGTGGAGTTAGTTGCACTTCAAATGACGCGTAGTCGAGTGGTATGTCTACATGGAAACCTTTCTTAGTCGATCACTCTATCAGTTTTAATCTTTCAGTCGTCTAGTGTGTTTGTTCCATTTCATCAGATTCATTGTTTGTATGCGTGTTTCTATATTTTATGAATTAGTGTTTTTCCACGAACATTTCAGCTTGTTTTAACGACTCTCTTTAACTATCTGCTGAATTATTATATCTTGCCGACAACAGTTTATTGTCACGTGTAACCACTCAACCTCATTTTGTAAGATTGATACTAGTTGCATTTAAGTCTTTGGTTATTAACCTGTCTCAGACATGTATTTTATACAACCTTTGATTTAGAACATAATAGAGTATTTTTGTCCTGTACAGAATTTTAAATTTATTTCTTGCTGTTTTAACATATAAATACTTGTACCTGAATTGTGTATGTTTTCAGTTGTACTCTGACAAAATTTTCTTCCGACTTTGGATTAGTTATATAAAATATTTCTTTATCCTTGCTAATAAGTTGTATACTTAAATGTTAAAGCGAAGTTTGATCATTTTTCTTTGCCTTATCTTCTGCAAACTCGGTTTTTTTTTCCTCCTAGTTTTAAAGTCTTGTGGTAGCAGAAAACTCAATCCATATAAGTAAGATAAGCTGAACCTGTTTTGTTTTATTACAGAGAAAGTTTTTGAAACCAAACTGAATGAACTATTTTTTTTTTCTCTTAACTTTGTGATCTTGTAACTATGCTCATTAATATTAACAGCATCATTGCTTTTGTCAGACAAATATGGATCTTGTGCGTTAGCTTGTTGAGAGTGTGTTTATGTTGTGATTTGGTGTGCTGGTATTCTGTGTAGTAACACAGTCTAAAGAAGCCTACTTTGTTTCTCTGTTCTTACAAAAAAACTTATAAAGTGGTTAATATCAGTTTTGGTTTTGAAATTGAAGTATAAAATAATTATAAACCATTATTTTATTAGACTATTTTTAAAAGAGAAAAAAAAAGTTTTTATTGGCATTACTATCATTTTAGGATACGAGATGGATTTTCATTTTGATACATAAAGAATACTGATTGTTTTATGATTTGGAAGTTATTCCTTCCATGCATTGTCTTGCATAAGATTTCATAATAAGATTTATTTTTGTGATTGCATCGAACCTTAAGTTGTTAAAATGACACTTTCTTACGTGATTATGGGAAATGCAATTTAAAGTACACAAAACTTGGTGTGAGAAACAAAAAAGTAGCTTTTTATACATTAATTAATTAAAGAAGCTAATAAGCTGTCCATGGTTTGAAAAGTGCATTCGTATTAATAAAACTATTTGAAATTTTATAGGACTTCCAGAGTCCAAAAAAAGAAAAGTAAGGGTCATTGCATATAATGTATTCATTCACAGTGTACGAAGAAAAAGGACTTTCAAAGCTTTGGGTGATTGCACATTTTTTTCTGAGTTTATTAAACTTGTTTTCATAAGTTATATTTTTAGGTACAAGTCATTGAATTAAGGCATATCAACCAACAGACCTTGTACACTGGGAGAGTACTTTAATTAATTTTTTTTTCTGGTTGTCGTGAGGTTTAAGGCATATAACTATGTAGTTTTGTTTGTTCTTCATGCTGTAGTACTTGTAATTATTCAGTGGTTCCAATAAATGTTTTGTTTTTGTTTTTCTTCAAATTTAGTTTTACTGACTTGTCTTTTTTTTATTCAAGAATTTAAGATTTAAATATAAATGTGGTAACTTTTGTATAAATTTGAAAAATTAGATAATTTAGACTGATTATATTTCAAAGTTGAAGACTTAAGAACATAGGTTCATCCCTAGGATAGCTTTTATTAAGTTTATCAAAACTCATAGTAGCCATCTAACTACACAAAATACAACTGTGTTGATGTATACCAAAACTCCAGTTAGTAAACTTCCCTCCCTGTTGTACTATGTTTATTTTAACTCGTGATTACTGTTATTACTTTATTCTGTTTGATAACTAGATAAACAGTAATATCACTTTGTATTTAACAAATACGTAGAGAACATTGTAGGCCTATGGGCTACTTTGAAACCTTTTAGCAACAACCGTTGTATTTAACAAATACGTAGAGAACATTGTAGGCCTATGGGCTGGTTTGAAACCTTTTAGCAACAACCGTTGTATGTGGAATACGTAGAGAACATTGTAGGCCTATGGGCTGGTTTGAAACCTTTTAGCAACAACCGTTGTATGTGGAATACGTAGAGAACATTGTAGGCCTATGGGCTACTTTGAAACCTTTTAGCTACAACCGTTGTATGTGGAATACGTAGAGAACGTTGTAGGCCCACAGAGTACTTTGGAAACTTTAAACAAAAACCGTTGTTTGAATATCAACAAATGTAATTATTCTTTTATTATCGGGTAGTAAGATATAAGAATAACCACTGTACGACTTCCATAGTTCACATCTCTGTAGTAAGGTCGTGAACATTTGTAATTACAATAGAAACACACCACAGTTTTGAAACAACCTTGTCGTTCTCTTCTCTCCACAGGTTATAGTAGTAGTTATGCCAATTGTATGAATCATCGATCATTAGTGTAGGGTGACGAGTTTTTAATATATTCCAAGGTAGATGGCAGCACGTTGTGAATAGGAATGTAGTCTTGATTTTGTAGTTCAGTCAAACATACACGCTTAGACAATTTTTTTTATAGCAATTGAAAAGTGACGTCATTAAAAATAAGCTCATTAAATCCGTCAAACGTGACCTGTTATTGAAACGTGATGGTGAAAAATACAGATTAATTCAGTAGTTTTTAAATTTGATATTTTCGGTATAATTTGTAATAGAAATTTAGACTTGGCATTTTAACAAAATATTTGAATTTAATATAAGCCAAATCTTTCTAATCATAACGATTACCGCGGTTAATTGTTTTGAAGGGACGGTGTTCGTACAAGTTTCCAAGTGTCAGAATCTCAAATATGCTGCACGTGTTAAGAAAGAACGGAAAAAACAAAACAAACTGAGTTTCTTAAACTATGATTTTTTTTTTTTTTTCGTTTTATAACTAAGATTTCCGGAAATTTTATAGAGACAAAAAGAAAATTATTCTGTAAGCAGACTACTTAAAATGCGAAGCTTTAGTATCAGTTTTTTTTTCACGTAAAGCTCATCCAAACGAAAGGTGGCAGTGTCTGACAAATATGGAGACTGGTAACTATAAATAAAAGAGAAAAGCATGTGATAAACGTCCGGAGTTGGGATATTGTATTTTTGCATATATTTTTTACATAAGTACGCATAATGGTAATGACATATACCTCAGACATCAGAAATATAATTTAATTAGTTCGTTTAAAATTAATATATGTAATATAATTGTATATTAGATAATCTACGGTGTAATATGATGAGTTAAGTAGTTTCTTATAGACTTCTGTAGGTTTGGAGACAACGTTTCGGATCCTTTATCAAACACCCACACAACCAATCAAATGTTTATTAACCGACCTCCCAATGTGTTTCTGGCCTAATAACTGGTTTAATTTATAAGTTAAATCCTTAGTAAAGATAAAAAAAAATACAGTGAATAAAAGAAAAGTTGCGAGTCAAAATTAATAAACTTACAGAGGGGTGAGTAGATTATATTAGAATTTTGGATATGCAAGTCAACAAGACAGTTAGCCGATATAAAGTCGTGATGGAAGGTATTATCAGAAGTATACTTTGAAATTTTTAGCGTTGCGTATGTGATGTGAAATCACCTAAAGTTGATCGATTTAAGGAAAGTTATGTAACAGCTCTTTCTGATGTAAACTATTCATATATTGAGATTATAAAGATGTGTTGTGATCGGGGATTTGGAATTTTCAAAGAATATGGATTAAGTTGGGTAACTAGCACCATCAAGGAAGAGACTTGCAACAAGTCGTACTCCAGTCATGGTATCCAAAGTGTGGTGTTTTGTAACCGGTGTGAATCCACGAACACAAAGGTCAGTGGTAAAAGCAATCCACATGGACCAAGTATATAACACAGTGAAGAAGAATATTCGTCTGGAAAAACTATACAAGGGATGTGTATATAAGCTCCATCCTCAACATACGAGTTCAGCCGTTAAGTACATCAAGTAGTTGGAGAATGAAACCGGGTATTCATGCAGGGAGGAGGGGTGTGGTTTGAGCCTGACAGCCATACGACGACGGAGTCTTTGTCAATGGAAACTACGCTGCGAGACTATTGTTAAAATACATGATCGACAGATAGGATATGACCAGAAGCGACGTCATGGATGGTAATGACGTTGTAAAACGCCAAAATTGTTTTAATATAACGTACTGCAGAACAAATACGTTTAAAGTCTCAGAAAATTAAGAGTTAAAGTCAAGTCCAATGTAGAAATTACGAACTTTTAAGTATTAAAAATAAAAGCTATAACCAAAGAATAATAACAATAATAAAGAGGAAATCAGGACCTTTCTTCACCAACTCTCGGCGTTTGATAACGTAATTATCATTGTTTTTGTGTTCCATATTTCAAAAGCCAGATTTACAAATATGTTATATCTCGTAATAATTTTGTGAATATTTTAAGTTTAAACTTTACCTTCGGCCTGTGATTTATTGCTTTAAATAAATAAATATAGATTAGAATTGATGCCTGTACACCAAAAATAAAACCTGTTGTTCAGTATCAGTGGTTGAAGTCATACATAAAACATGTCGTGTACACTAGAGTAGGCCTAAATTGATTTTCATAATGCCTGTAGTCTAAACAGTTCAAGCCATTAGAGGCTCAGCGGTAAATTTTTTGTTTGTTTTGAATTTCGCGCAAAGCTGCAAGAGGAATATCTGCGCTAGCCGTTCCTAATGTAGAGTGATAGACAATGGGGGAAGACATCACTCACCGCCAACTCTTGGGCTACACTTTTTATAATCCAATAGTGGGATTTACCGTCACTTAGCGAGATTTACTGTGGTTCGAACCCCGTTACCGCAAAAAGAATAAAAAGCTTTCGCATCTTTGGACTGTGAATGCGTTATAAGGGTGACGGTCAAATCCTATTATTCGATTAGACTTGTAAGGTTTACTATTTTTTCCACGCGAAACTTAAAAAGAAATGCTAATCGAGATTTGAACTTACCACTAGATGGCACTGTGATGTAGATAAGTACAGTTATGAGTCATTTTGACATGATAGAACTGTTTCTCCCTAAGGCACATTTAATTTTACTGCATTTAAAATCAATACATAGCGAACGTTCTCATTTTATAGCTTGTTTCGAGAATTTGAAAATTGTGTGTCAAAGATGACTCACTAACCTCAATAAAGTTGTAGCGGTGAAACGTTGGATCCATACAAAATCAATCTGCCTCGATATAAAAAATGAATGTTTTTTAACATTACCCAAAATCTTTATTATAGGTATCGAAACAGAATATTTCATAACCCAGTTTATCTTTGTTGTATTGTATTAGGAGCATGTTTCGTTGCCTTTTATGAAGCTTTAGAAAACAAAGTTATTGTCATGGTAACTATGGTTACCATGACAATACTGTTGATGAATAGTTATTGTCGAGCTTAGTTGATATTCAATATCACCAGGAGAAATTAATATTGAATTTCGCGCAAATGTTCACGATGTCTATCTGCGCTAGGCGTCCCTAATTTAGCAGTGTAAGACTTGAGGGAAGGCAGCTAGTCATCACCACCCACCGCCAACTGTTGGGCTACTCTTTTACCAACTAATAGTAGGATTGACCGTCACATTATAAAGCCCTCACGGCTAAAAGGGCGAGCAGGTTTTGTGGTACGGGGATTCGAACCCGCGACCCTCAGATTGCGAGTCGAGCGTCCTAACCACCTGACCATGCCGGACCAAGAGAAATTAATAAAAATCTAGAAATGAATAAGACAATTTCCGAATATTGGAGTAAAATATTTTGAGGTTTAATATAACTTTATTAAATATTAATAAACGGTTTATCTTCTTTTTAGTATACGCACATAACATAAATCAGGAACTGATGGCTAAAAGCGTTGACATTGGAATATGACTACTTCTTGTTTGTTTTGAGTTAAGCACAAGTATCGAAACCCAGATTCTAGCGTTGTAAGTCCGCTGTGCCACTGGGGGGGGGGGCGACTGTTTCTTAGAGTTACAAAAGGACAATTTTTATATGCAAAGAAAATGTTCGCATACTTATATAAATATCGCAATTAAGAAATTTTTCTAACAAAACTAAATCTTTTCTTGGTTAGTTTTTAACCTTCTATTCTGCATTGTAACGTAGAAGTAATAACACTGACTGTGTTGTTTATTACACATACAAATGTTTCTTCTGTCCTTATAATTTACCCAAATATAGAAAAAAAAACATTTTTTATGCTATATATACACCTATTTAAGTAAGAAATTCAAAGAAATCATTTTTTTCCACCGTATATTCAGAATGCGTGCAATAGAGGGCTAAGAACCTTGAATTTCATGCAGTTATTGTGAAAATTCATAATGATAAAGTCCATTCTGCTTTAATAGTAGTAGATATTACGCCCCTGTCTCCAGTAACTCGAGACTGGATGTTCGTAAAATTTGGCACACAAAAAAAAGATAAATAATTATTTATACTACATAAATATTAACATATTCATATAAAAAATAACATCTGGTGGCGCTGTCATTCGATTCTGCA